AATGAATGTACAAGTGTGCTTTACACAATTGATGTATATATGGATCGTGATAAGAGTTGTATGAGCCCCTAATAAAAGTATTTAAAAAAATAAGTTTTCAAACAACAGTCTTTGTTAATCTCGAAAAACGAGCAGGTGCATTGCTACAGTGGGGAAAATTTTTCCTCACTGCCACTTTGCTAGCCCTTTCCTCACCAATGTAATTTTCAATTTTCTTAAAACTTCATAAAAAGTCCCTGTGATTATCCTGTGTCTTTTGAGAAAATTCCATCAAGGTAACCTCTTTGGGCACCCCTAATATAGTAACCATTACCTTCTAAGTTGATTTCTCTGCCTTGAACTTAACTGGCTGAATCGATCATCACTGTTTTGGTGGGACCTTTTTTCAGAAGGCACCTTAATGAGACTAAGAGAAATGTATTACTGAGAAAATTGCACGTAGTCAACTGATTGTAGGGGCATGTGTAAAAATGTTTCATTTGGAATAAACTTGTGCATGTATTAACTGGAATAGTAATAGTTTTTTGCTTATAGTTCTATATTTTGCCTTACCCACATATTGTTTTTTAATCTCTCATAACTAAAATGTAAGCTATATGGTGCAAGGCTCTTTGTTGACTCATCCATAGCCCCAATGTACTTAGAAAAATGCCTGACATATATTTAGGTACTCAAATATTTGTTGAAATAAATGTAACTCCTTTAAAAAGTTTAAAAATCTCATTTTAATAAGACATAGAAAAATATAGAACCTAAACTATAGGTATAAGAAAATAAGAACTCTTACCCTAAAAATGAGAAATCTATTTCAGAAGATTTCTGTTCTCCATCTTTATCTATCACCAATCCATCAATTTATTATATATTTTCTATCTGCCCTATCAGGTTACACGTTGGTTGGGATACAAACTGCAAGGTCAGCAGTTCAAAACCACCAGCTGCTCCTTGGGAGAAAGACAGGGCTTTCTACTCCCGTGAAGTTATAGTCTTGGAATACCACAGGGGCAGTTCCACCTTGTCCTATATAGTTGCTATGAGTTAGAATTGACACCAAGGCAGTGAGAGATCTGCCCCATCAGTGGGGTTGGGGATCTAAGGATGAAACCACCTGAGTATAGTTCATGAGAGACGAAAACAAATTCATAGATAGACCATTCTAGAACCCCAGAGATCATCTACTGTCAGTTGGTGAGCCTACAAGGATACAGGCCTTTTGGCCTTAGTTACGGCTTGTTGCCACTTAGGATACTACCACCCGCCTTCAGGACTCACTTTATTCATAAGATCTGACACCAAAGGATGAAAATTAACTTCCACTATGGGTATCAAAAGATTAAGTTTAACACTTTCGCACATCAAAAGACTTCACAAAAAAAGAGTAAAAGGAGAGCCCATGGACTGGGGGAAAACAGTTCGCAATGACACAACAGACAAGGAACTAATTACTAAAATCCATAGAATTCTGTAACACCTCAATAAGAAAAAAAATCCAGTTAAAAGGTGGGCAAAAGACATGAATATACAATTCACGTGGGACACCACTTGAATGGCTAACAAGCACATGAGGAAATATAATCATTAGACATCTGGAAGATGCAAATCAAAACAATGCTGAGGAAGGTAATCAAGCGGCCATCAAGCTCAGAAGCAACAAAGCCCACATGGAAGAAGCACACCAGCCTGTGCAACCACGAGGTGTTGAAGGGATCAGGTATAAGGCATCATCAGAACAAAAAATGTTACCATAGTGAATGATGGGGGAGTGTGGAGTGGAGACCCAAAGCCCATGAGTAGGCCACTGGAGATCCCCTTGCAGAGGGGTCTCTGGGAGGAGATGAGCCAGTCAGGATGCGACGTAACAACGATGAAAAAATACAACTTTCCTCTAGTTCCTAAATGTTTCCTCCCCGCTCCCACTACCATGACTCGAATTCTACCTTGCAAGTCTGGCTAGACCAGAGGATGTACACTGGTACAGATAGGAACTGGAAATACAGGGAATCCAGGGCGGATGAGCCCTACAGGACCAGTGGTGTGAATGGCGAAACAGGAAGGGTAGAGGGAGAGTGAGTAGGAAAGAGGGAACCGATTACAAGGAACTATATGTGATCTCCTCCCTGGGGGATGGACAACCGAAAAGTGGGTGAAGGGAGACATCGGACAGGGCAAGATATGACAAAATAACAATTTATAAATTATCAGGGGCTCATGAGGGAGGGAGGAGCGGGGAGGGAGGGGCAAAATGAGGACCTAATGCCGGGGGTTTAAGTGGAGAGGAAATGTTTTGAGAATGATGAGGGCAATGAATGTACAAATGCGCTTTATAAAATTGATGTGTGTATGGATTGTGATAAGAGTTGTATGAGCCCCTAATAAAATGATTAAAAAAAAAAGCTGAAATATAGCCTTATACTCACAATAGCCTAATTAAAAACAAACAAACAAACAAACAAACAAACCAACCAACCAACCAACCAACCAAGAACAAATGCTAGAGGCGGTGCAGAGTTGGAACTCAGACACTACTGGTGGGTTCCTAAATATGTACAACCATTGTGGAAAGTAATATGTTGCTACTTAACACAACTGAGAATAGAAATACCATACTGTCCAGAAATACCTTTGCTGGGCATATACTCCAAAGAACCCAAGAGACAAAACACGAAGAGATATATGCTCTCCCGCATTCATTGCAGCCCGATTCACAATAGCAAGAAGATGGAAATAGCCCCAATGCCCATTAGTAGAAGAATGTATAAAGAAATTCTTATATACACACAAAGGAATACTATACAGCTCTAAAAACAGTGATGACAGACCTGGAAATTATTATGCTGAGTGAAATTTGTCAATTACAAAAGGCTGTATTAGTCCACTACTAAAAGAATATATACATATATATGGCTTAACACCAAGATGTAGGCGGGCTTCTGCTCTCAGATCATGTAATCTTTTAATCCTGTCTCTCAAGCAACAAGGTCGAGAGCCTGCCTAGTGCCCATGAACAATAACTAACCCCCTTTATATGTACACCTTTAAAACCACTTTGACAGAGGAAACCTCACCTCAGCTGGGGTCAGTTTCTCAAAATAGGGGAGAAGGAGAAGACCATTCAGTTGGCGTCATACATTTTGCTACGGTGACCCCAAATCAACAGACACCCCTACATGAGTGATAAGTGAATCTTCCTAAAAATTCAAGTCAAGAAGGGAGAACATGTATCTTGGAGAAGATGATTATATTTCTGTTGGTGAGTAAACTGGATGGAGCAATCTCCCATCGAGAAAAAATGCTTAACAATACTTACACAGAACCCAAGGGGAGACTACACCTGGTACTATGTTCCTAAATGGATACTTTTGACCTAGTTTCTATCCAGATCCTGGTGACCTTGGTTGTGTGATTTAGACTACTGGGACTTTAAACTCTGTCTTTTCAAGGTGCATATCATCTTTCATAAGCTACACCAGAAGGATTCGATATGTGAGCCCTACTAATAAACTTGGCTTTACCCTAAACTTATTTGTAGCAGGTTTAAGGAACTGTCATACTCTCTGGAATTATGGTTGAAACACCCTAGAATGAGAAGAACCAGATGACTGCTATCCCAAGGCTATGGAACTGGTGGCCACTAGATTTTGGTTTGGCTCTCTTTCTTTGAGGGTGCCCAATGAAAGCTGGTCTTGGCTTTCCATATATTTACTATTTTATTGCTCTCTTATGGCATGTACTAATAAGGAAGGCATGGTTCTGCCTTTGTGACTGAGTATTATCGAAACATTTGCCCTATCACCAACCCTTACTGTTCGTGTACATAATGTACAATCACTTAAGAGTTTTATCAGTACAAGTCAACAATTCATATATTAAAGTCTGAAAAGCCAGCCTACACTTAGATAATTTCCTTTTCTAAACAGTGTTTTAAAGTCTATACCATTGGCTAAATTAATGACACGATCAATAGAATAATGGGCTCAAGCATGGGAACAATTGTGAGGAGAATGCAGGACTGGGCAGTGTTTATTCTTTTGTGCATAGGGTCACTATGGGTTGGAACGGAGTTGTTGGCTCCTAACAAGATTTAAAGAATTACCTTATGCCAGGAGCATGATTTATAATGTTCTCCATTAAAAAATAATGATGTCTCTCAAGTGAACCAGAGACATCTATAAACCGTAAATATATGAATGAATTTTGGGCACGCACTTAAATTTTCGCCACAATCTAAGAACAATTAGTTCTTATGGCACAGCCCTACTTATACTTGCCCTCATGAAGAGATCACTGAAGATAGAGGAGCTATAGCAAAGTGTGGCAAAGAAATCAGAGGATGCCCAGCTATCAGAAAGAATAGAGTCTGGGGTCTTAAGGCTTGTCTTCAAACGAGTAGCCATCTAAGTTGAGGTGTCAACTCAATCTGTGTGCTTCAAGGAGTGTAAATAATAAAACCCATATCTGAAGGAGGGAATGGCGTCAAGACTTTAAACACTCAGTTTGCAGAAGTTTATGGTTGGCAGTAGAAGCCACAAACTCATTTGCAGGGTCCCCACATGGATTAAGTTTCAGGTGAATCACTCTGACCGTAGTGGAAGAATGTGAATAGCTTTGCTATCAGAAAGAGTATTGAAAACTCGATTATGGTAGCTGTAATTAGGTTAAAAAGTAACACCTCACATTTGGATCTCTCTTTTGACCCATTTTAAGTTTGCTTCAGTTTTAAACATTTTCTGCTTTAAAATTAATCGCTAAATATACTGACAACCATAACACCCCCCCAACCACCCAAAAGAGTTACTACTGAGGCTTGGGGTAAAAAAAGGATTAAGTTTGAGTCCAGAAACTGCAGAAAAAGAAAGTAGTTCTAGACATGGTCTGTCTAATGATAGAAGTGAGCAGACAGCCTTCAGAGTGACTTCTTGGCTGTTAGGGCATCTTCCCTTACAGAGCAAATCTGGTCCCTCTGGTATTAGCTCACTCCACTACTTCTCACAGAGACTTACCTGAATACAAGCACCCATCTTCAACTTACATAGGCTGCAAACTAGGGCCCAACGACTGGGTGGAACGTGAGAGATCTTGGTGATCGGTTCCATTCTTTCAGGTGAGGCAATGCGGACCTATAAATAAAACACCACTGTAAGGCACTGAGGCATTACAGAAGTACATTTCAAAAACCATAAATGATGTTATGTGAAGTTCAGAACATCAAAACAATGAGGTGAACCACATCTCTTAATGTTAATATGGAAACAAGAACAAATAAATAAAACGCACTGCTCATATCTTCCATCATTTTCAATAACATAAATGATTTCTACATAAGTTGAGAGGGCAGACATATATGCCTTTTGGGTGTGTAAATTGGTATTTATTCCTTTTAGAATTTGTTATTCCAGTATGAGAATATAATATAATTTATTTGTACATTTCCTTGTTTATTGAATTTTTTTCAAGCTTTTGGCTATGATAAATTCCATGAACATTCCTGCATAAGTCTCTTTTTAATTTACTATTTTCATTTATTTAAAAAAAAACTTCATTTCTTTTGAGTATATAATTCAATCCCAGAATATTGCTGATTGTGTATTTTAATTTTAAATTACCAAAATTTTGTACAGTGATTTTACCATTTTATATTGCTATCAAGAAAATGTGGGAATTCTATAGCTTAGTTATAGTGGAGCGTGCACTGGATAATGTTTTATTGCAGATGCAGGTAGTTTAAATGTAGCACCTTATCATTTTGATTTCCTTTTTTGACCTATTTTATATTTGTCCTAGTTTTAAATAGTTTTGCTTTCTTTTCAATTGAGGTTTTTCTTTGTTAATCTTAGTCTTTTTGTTGTTTTGGGGGCTATATTTTTAAAATATGAACTCCGGGATTTGTAAATCTATATAGTAACTGGATTAATGGTTTCTTGGGAGTATGGCAGGGGAGGTTCAGGGGGGAAATGGGGAGCTAACAACGAGTACAAGAAAAAATAAAATGTTCTAAAAATTGACGTGGTGATGATTGTATAACTCTTCGTAATGATTGAACTATATTCATCAGTATGTGAATTATATTAAAATAAAGCTGTTAAAAATGTGGGAATTCTGGTTGCTTCATACTATTGCCATCATTTGCTATTTTAGTCTTTTCCACAAGATTTTTATTTTGTGAATGTTGAGTACATGTGTACTGCAAAATACCCACTAATTCAAGTTTCTACAAGTTTAATGTAGTGACACTGGTTATATTCCTCAAGTTGTACACTCTCTCTTTCTGAATTGTTCCTCCCTCATTAACATGAACTTACTGCCCATTAAGAATACTGAATATACCGTGGACTGCCAAAGAACCATCAAAACTGTCTTGGAAGTACAGTCAGAATAATTCTTAAAAGTGAGGAAGGATGAGACTCTGTCTCATGTACTTTAGCCATGTTTATCAGGAGGGCCAACATCCTGGAAAAGGACATCATGCTTGGTAAAGTAGAGGGCCAGTGAGGAAGAAGACCCTCAATGCGATACAGGTACCACAATGGGCACAAGTATGGCAACAGGAGCAGGCCTAGTGTTTTGGAGCCAACTCAAACCAACTAGAAGATACCTAACAACCAAGGTTCCAATCTAATCTTGTCATTTGCTGTTGTTGATCTGACCCCCATATAGAGAGTTCTTCAAAGGGCATAATGATCCAGGCAGAAATATGTTTTACTAGGTAAAATAAACTATTGTTCTACTTTAAGAAGGCTTCAGAGGATATTTTTGGTTTAAAATTTAAAAATTATCTTAGGGCAATTGTACATGAGTACATGAAAATCTGAAATTGTGTTCTGCATTTCCCCTCTTTTGATTAAGATTCTTCTATAGAATCTTTGATCAAAATGTTGAGTAGTGGCAACTGGGCACCATCCAGTTCTTATGGTTTCGTGGCAGAGGAGGAAAATGTTCATGGAAACAATGAGTCACACACGACATATCCTCTTCCTCTTCCTAATTCTTCTTCCTCTGCTGTTCCAGGTGAAGAGATCAATTGTGCCTTTCTATGGGCACTGGTTAACGTTTGAAATTCCAGGCACTAAGCAACAAACTAGGAGGTAGAACAGAAACACTAAACATGTTATTTGGCCTATTAACTGGGATGTCCCATGAAACCATTGGCCATAAACCTCCAAACTAAGAAACCAAATCCCAGGATGATTTTGGTTGTACAGATGCAATCTCAACAGCTACTCTCGTTGCTGTTGCTGTTGCTGTAAATATATCTATAACTTTTGCCAATCCTACTCTTACAGGTGTACAACTTACAACAATTACAATAATTGGTTGTACAACTCTACCCCTAATCGATGTGCTATTTTCATCACTGTTAACCCTACCCTCTGTCCCTCTTTCACCTCTGCTAGTCTTAATACACTTTGTTCTATATACAATTGCCTTTTCTTATCCTTTTGTTATTGACTTATTCCACACAATTATGCTGGAAGACTAAGCATGATGTCTCCCAGCCTCAACCATATTATAGCATGCATCAAGACTCCATTTCTCCTATTGGTTGAACAGTATTCCACTGTATGTGTGTACCACATTTTGTTTTACCTACTTATCTGTTGATGAACATTTAGGTTGTTTTTATCTTTTGACTATTAAAAGAGTGCTATATAAAAAAAGAGTGCTATCATGGACACTACTATACAAGTCTTTTTGAGTCTCCTCTTTCAAGTCTTTTGGGTATATACTTAGAAGTAGAATTGCTGGGTCCATAGGGTAGTGCTATTTTCAGTTTCTTGATGAACCACAGCACTATATAATTTTGCATTTTTACCAGCAATGGATAAGACTTCCAATTTTCCCACATCTTTACCAACATTTGTTATTTTTTATTGTTTTAATCCAGCTATACTATGGGAAGTGAAAAGGTATCTCTTCTTATGGTTGTGATTTACATCTTTTTGGTGGTGAATGGGAGTCCTGGTGGCACAGTGGTTACATGTTGGGCTGCTAACGAAACAAGGTCAGTTCGAAACTACCAGTCCCTCTGCAGAGGAAAGTTATATTTTCTTTGGTGAAATGTCTATCCTTTGCCCATTTCATGACAGTTATTTATCTTTCTATATGATTATATATACAATTAGATTCTTGTTGATTATATGATTTTCAAATATATTCACCCAGTTGCTAGTTTGTCTTTTCACATTTGGAACTAGTTACCACTTAACCATATCATCAGCTTACCCTACACTTCCTCAGACTAAGTTACTTAAAAGTAGAATTAGTCTTTGGAATAACGATGAAAAGGAGTACGTTTAAAAAGGTAGATTTTCCCTCTAAATTAAATGGTCAAGTAACTGCTGACAAAAAGAGTTTTGATTTTTTTTGCAAGTATACTGTATATACTCGTGTATAAGCTGAGTTTTTCAGCACATTTTTAAGTGCCTTGGCTGATATTTGGGTTGGCTTATACTCGAGTATATATGGAGTATATATGGTATACATGATTTTCTAATATTAAAACAATTTTAAAAGTGACAGCCTGTTGAGTAAGTATGGCCAAAGGCATATACACTCCCCCTATATGAGGAAATGAACAGTAGAAATATCAGAGAGATCTTGAATAGTTCATCAGAGAATGCCCC